GAGAAGTCGTGAGTCTCAATTAGGATTCGAGCTGCGAGGGGATCGGGGGATTTTAACGGGAGCGTATCAAAATACCGAGCACCGAATCATCGAAAGTGGCATAGTCGAAAACTCGAAAACTCGATTCATCGAATGGACGAAACTCGAAATGCCGAATGGATTTACCGAAATGATATTTCGCCGAAGCAAAATCTTTTCGATGAAAAGCTGATTTTCGTCGAAACATTAAAATGTAGGAAAACGAGCAATTTCAGAATCAAGGATTTCCTCGCAAGCGTCAAGGTCGAATAGTCAAATATGAAAGACATCGGTATGTTGCAGTCATTTAAAGAAAAGAAACAATAGAGGAAAGCCCACAAAAAAAAAATAGGATGGGCCCGGATGAACCGTGCCGTAAGTACTCTGCAGAAGGGGACTTCACCATGCCTTTGGTCCATTTGGTCCATCTGTGTCACAGCCACATTCCGGCAACCAGGCTCGGTGCATTTACAGTATTCCTTCACGCGAAGCGCCTATGAGTATTTTGTCTCTGAAGAATATCAATATCCCAGGTTCACTTTGTAACTTGATACGTTACGACGTTTTACACCAGCCTGACAGGCAGCGAACGACGACTTCACGGAAATAAAATGTTGGATGCAGCTAGGAGCCTGATGCCTTGCAGGCGTAGAATTATTGGGTCAACGCAAAAAATCGAAATTCTAGCGTGTTCACTTTTTATGAAGCTCGATGATTTTTCAGTGCCTCACTTTGTTCCTTCAGAAAGGTATGTATCATAAACGTATCCTGCCCTTGCGAGTACTTGAGCACTTCTAACATGATTCAAATGCGCAACGCACATCGGCACGTATCGAGACCGAAGCCAGGGCACAACTGACGAGGCTCATTAATCAAGACGGCCAAAACGAAGAAATAAAAACAGGATTTTTTTCGGCTTTATAAGCCTTCGGTGACCTACCGTGAACCTTTCGATCTCCAGGCACTTCTATGAATGAATCCTTCGATGTATGGTCGCGTTCGTTCAACTGTCTTTCGACAAAACGTCCATTCGTCGACATGAGTTTCGATGATTCGATGCCAACCCGTTTTAACAAAACGGGTTGGCATCGAACCCTCCCCCCCACCCCCCTCCTCCCATGAACACATTTAAACAAAAATTATCCTTAAAAGGAAAAGAAGAAAATATTGAGAAATGTCGTGTTCCGGAGCTTCGTCTCTCCCACGACCAACCCAAAAGCAAAAAATTCCCAGCAATCTCTGACTCGAGTGCTCGGCTATGTTGCAGCACGGACCCAGTCTGCACGATATCGCCTTAACGTTGCATAAGTATCGAAGTTTCAGCATCCGCCATGTTACATCGATGTCGAAGATGTCAATCGATTCAATTTTGAAACGAGTTTCAACATTATTGAGTGCTGAATTGATGCTATGCTCCAGCTGTGATAGAGCCTAGCATAAATGCATGGAGCATAGAATATTGTACCGGCGTGGTCTAAATGCGTTTCTGTCATGCCAGAGTTGTTGATTCCACTTCGACGATACTTTTTTCCCGGTGTCGTCTTCGGAAAAAAGATCAAGTACCGTCCCAAAGGTACTGGGACTCGTGCCACTTGCAAATACGAGAGAACTCGCCGTATAAACGATCTGTCTCCATCTCACTTCGGAGTCTAGGAACTTCATCGATTCGAGTAACTGCCAGATGGCTCTTACCGGCATCTGTTCGTGTGACGTCGACAGGATGCAAAGTACGCAACTGGAGTGCAAGCGTATTCAGTGTCTTCGCCGTATTTGTACTTGTCTCATTTTCAACATCGAGTCAATGTTGACGATACACGACTATCGTCATCGACATCCCATCAACACCGTCGACCAATCACCAATATTGTGTCAATATTGTTGTGCAGACTGGGAACGGTTGAACGAAGCCCTAGCAGTAGCGTTATTTACCTACCTGTCAAAACCAAACGTGAAATTTATAGATAGGAGCAGGTATGTCGGACAGCAGATTTTTCTTCTATGGAGAAACGGGACCATACGAGGTCCCGTCAAAAAAGTTTCCATAGTTGACTGCAGTACTGCGAATATTTAGAGCAGGAAAAAATTGGCGCCTTCCACAGAAATATCAACATTCCAACTCTGAACAGTGCAATTTTCAAGGAAAATCTAGCCCATTCGGCCCAACAACGTCGTGTCAACGTTGAGCGAGGATTCACTTCTCAACGATGATGTCACAAAGTTGTGTAAACGGCGGATTCGATGTTGCCACGACGTTGAAACGAAACACAATTCGACGTTAAAAATGCGCTCATGATTCACGTTGTGCCAGCGTTGTCAGCGATTGTCGACGTTACCTCTTCCTTTTCCTGAGATTGAACAACAATGTAGGGTTCGTGGCTCGAAAGTGAATACTATCGTGCAAGGTTGGTTCCTTCTGGAGTAGTTACTTCCTTTACTGGATCAGAATCCAAGTTGAGTACTGAAATGGCACAACTCATTCTGCCCGGCAGAGGAATTTCCACGTCTGGAATCATCCCCTGATTTATCGCCTTCATTAGAGACGAGCCGCTAGAACAAATCAAAATCATCAGCAGGAAGTATCCAAGAAACAGGTCTGCAAGTCTTTTTTTTTTTTTACACGGATGATGATGGCAAGAAAAGTGCAAATCCCTCATGAATTGGCGGGAAAATGCAATTGAGCGATCGCTCAATTTAATTTTCAAAATCAGGAGAAAATTGAGTCCCCGGGAGAAAATTGAAGCCCGTCGGAATGAGGATAAAAAACTATTGGAATTCACTTGATGATGGAGAGAAAATAGGGAGGAAAATGGTCATCAGTGCGAAGTTTCCTTGTGTCTGACCCTGGAAAAGAAAAAGGCGAAATGGAGAGAGAGAGAGAGAATGTCGTGACTTTCGAGAAAACGAATGGGAGAAATAGTCTAGAATAGAGCAGAATCGGAGAAAGCAAAAGGGGAATTTGTGGGGGCAATTTGGGGTCCCTGGGGGAATTACTCCATAAAAGATGCATCAGATTAGAGGAAATTCACTTATTGCATTCGATGGACGTTCTGCGTCACGGGTGCAAGCGAGCGGGAAAAAGGGGGGGGGGAGGGGGGAGGGAGGGGGGCACACGAATTAAGGAGATCTAGAAGGACCTAAGCCAGGGGAATTAAATGCCTGTTGCATGACTGGGATTCAGTTAATAGACAGATGGGGGAATTCATTCAAGGTTTCCATTATAATAAATCTCTGTATCTCGATACTTTATTATTAAGTGTTTTATTGAGGGCAGCCGGGTACTTTTCTGAAACCCACGTAGATCGCCTTGAGAGGAGAGAAGGCAACACCACCCCCTCCCCCCCTCCCCTCCCCCCACTCCCCCTCCGAGAAAAGAGAAAGCAGAATCACCAGAGGATCCGCTTTATGAGATGATCCACTAAACCAGCCATCTCAGAAGACATTATTGCCAGCAAATCACTCCTATAGGGGGGTACGAACTCAAACCGAAAGCAGTGTATACAGAAAGGTTAGCTCCACCAATCACCATCGCACATCGAATACGTGGTTGACAATAATGAAAAAAAAAATTCGGTTAATTTATGTTTTATCTAGGTCAAACATAGCCACTTAATACATGAATTAAACTTATTTTCTTTAACAAAAAAGGCTTTTTTATATGCTTGGAAAACGTGAAAGAATCGGCCCTCGGTTTCATTTTTGCCTGCTGACTCGGATCGACCTTTCCAGTTTTTCCAGCAGTTTTTCTTCTCTCGGTTTTCCGCATGGAGAACGGGAATTCGAAAAGTCGTGGTGCGGAGCGATCCGTAGTTCAGGATTTCAGTTCGAGTTGTTTATCTCTTTCAACGTAAGTTTCAATTTAACTTTCACTTTTCCCATGATTCCAATCCGAAGTAATCCGAAACCCAAAACAGTTATGGGTAGTTTCAGTATTTTGCGGGAACCACACGTGAATGTTGCTACTTAGCAAGCGGTCAGCCGATGTAATGTGGTGCAACGTGCTTTATCACCGATTTACAGACTTGTCTAACGAGACAGTTTTTGTTTTGTTTGTTAGTCAACTGTAGAGATGGTGACAGAGACGTAAGGAAATAAAATACATGATAATCGATTTCCACGATTGCGATTATCGGTCGCCACGCACCAGAAAACACGGATTTCGCCCAAGAGGAAGCCGGGACTGGATGACCTTGGGATTTTCCTCGGTAGACATAATGCAAGGAGCCGAGGCTCAAGGAAAGTCCTTGAGTGGGCTCGTAAGGAGATTACAGGTGCATTCTTCTGATCTCCGCCGGACCCGAAGAATCTTAGGAATCACTAAATGGGATTCTGACGGCAGTACGAGTGCAAGAGTATTAGAATCAGGTAGAGTTATTTAACGGAGAAGCCCGAAGGCGCAACACCTCCTTGCAATTATTTACGAGACATCTCTCGGGTATCTCCCGAGCTTATCTCCGCGAGCACTCCGCTCGTCCGTGCATTCAAATGGAGCAGGCAGCGAGAATAAATCGGCAGTTTTACTTGCTATCGCTGATGCAGCGATATTTCAGCTTTTCTTACTGGTTCTTGCAGGTTCATCCGGGATCCGAGGCTTTTGCGTCTGCAGGCTGCTTTTTTTCTTCGGGCTCGATTGCGTTCCTACTCATAAACAGATAAACTGGAACTTGTGCATCTCGTTCCTGCTTATCGTTCGATCGACTCTCGTCCCACATTCTCATAAATACAAGAACAAGGCCAAGTTTCCAGCAAAATGAAGATCCATCGCACCTCGACCGAAAGGAAAAGCTGTCGCCCATCCATCACATGTTCCACTCGAGAGTTAATTATTCACTTAATTATTCAGATGTTATGGGAACTGGAGTGTCTTGCAATTCATCAATAACACTGACCTTTACGCGACTTTCCCCTCATACTTCCACTCAGACTCATTTCCACGATGGATTCACCCTTTGAACGACGAATGCTTAATGAAACACACGAAGGAATGGCACAGAAGCAAGGTATATTGAAGCATAAGAGCGGCTACTAACTGCAGAAGTGAACTCCACGCGCCGATAAAGTGGATTCTGCAGAGACATACACTCAAAAAAGTGTCAACGGACAGTAAAATCTGAGAATTTTCAGGTGCGAGCTCGAAAAGGAAAAAACTCGAGAGCAGGAAGAGCAGGAAACTCAGATCTTGGACAAGGCGTCGATGAGAATCTTGATCTCGCAGTTGATATCCCTGACGAGACTGACGATCTGCGTCTTGGAATTGAGTATCTCGATGCTCTGCGTGTACGGGTTGTAGCGGACGCCGAACGGGCGTGGAATCCCCGCGGCGTACGTCCTAAGGGGCGATCACGGGGCGTGCGTCATTCCACCGCAAGGTCGAATCTTTTAACCCTTCACTGCATAGGGTTCCGATTGGGAACATACCGGAATGATTTTTATATAAAATGGTCGAGGACTCATTCACTTTGGCGAATGGAGAATTCCTGAAATATTTATATTCTCAAGTGGAAAGATTATATATATTTTAAAGTGTTACCAACAGAGAAAGCTTTTGAAAATATTTGGTCAGTATCACATTCAAGTAAATATTTTCGGCCTTATTTCCCCGCAATTTCTTAATTTGTACAAAATCACGGTATGTTATACCTTAAACATCATAAACATTTTTTTTTTCAAATTTCGCCTTTTAGCTTTAATTTATTTCTTTGTCTGACCTTTACAAATTCTACCTATTGCAGTTCCTCTCCTTTTGCAAACTTCTCCCATTTTTTTTAGAAATCCAAAATGGCTACAATATGACTTAATTTTGGCGATTTAATGCGAAAACCTTCATTTGGTGTCTTTAAGAAAATGCGTATGAAATTCGAATGTTTTTCTTTAAGGCTTTCACATGTCATGCAGTAAAGGGTTAAAACGAGCAAAGACTTCCTGGGGGGGGNGGGGGGGGGGGGGCAAAACTCACAAGAGTTTCTCCTTCGCATCCTGGAAGCTGTTGGCCACATAATAGATGGGCTGGTACCGAGTGATCGGATATTCTTGGTCTCCGGTGAGTTCTGGGTCGAAAGTCCGGGTTTCAGGCACGTCGGTCAAGCAGTATTCCAATTCCCCGACGCTCGAGAGGAGACCTGCTCCGTAGGCCTTCAACTGTCCTTGTTGCTTGCACAGCCCGAATTCCACCGTGAACCAGTAGCACTGCAGAGGAAGATGAAAACGATGAATTATAGGTACGAGTCTCGCGGACGTCACGCAATGAACTAGGTCCAATTACAGATCTAAATATTATTAGGCATCCAAAACTCTATAATAAAAAAAGTAGACTCCCAAGACTTGATCAGCGAGAAAACAAGAAAACGAGAAACTATCGTCTGTGTATAAGTCATCTAAGAAGCAATTCATTAATGTGACTCATAATAAAGCTTTTGACTCTACATTTAGAGAAAGGATATATTGCGCTCGTTCCCCAGCATTCATAAGCTACATCATAACTCGTCTTCCGAAATGCACGAGAACTCAATGGATCCTGGAGATAAAAATTCACCCAGAGAATATACTGAGCTCGGAATTAATGATTAGCCAGTGAAGAGCAGGAGCTGTGGGCCCTTCTAAGGCTGAAAGGCCTAAAAACTTGTATGGAAATACGCTGCACAGACTTCTTGAGAGTACCGTCTTCCCCCCCCCCCCCGCACATACCCAATAGGAAAGCCAGTAGGAAGGGATCTTACGGTTGCGAGTTTCTTCACGTAATCGTCGGGAGCTCCGATGCTGGCGAGTCCAATCTCCTGAGAGAACTGAGCAAAAGACGGATCGGCCAGAAGCGGAACGTGGCCGAGGAGCTCGTGGCAGACATCCGGTTCCGGCGTGTAATGGGGCACGGAAGGATGTCGGATGTATTGGGTGGAATGAAAGACTCTGAACGCCAGTCCCGCCAGGAAGTCTCTCGACGAGAGCAGGCCTGCCACTGGACGCAAGGTGAAGCCCGTGCAGTCTGAAAGGGACACGGAAATCTCTCGTGCGTGATTCGGGGTGCAGAGAGCCCTACTTAGATTTGTTGACCCCGTTAAGTTTATTTCCATCCTTTTGCCTAAAGGCGTTATCGGATTGGAATTATCATATTAAATGAAGTTTTTCTAATAGTACCCTTAGGTATAGGATTTTTGTATTGCTGTCTGGTATTAAGGTGCCAAGCTCGTCCAACTAGTCATGTCATTCGAACGCGAAGAGTTGAGCGACGTAGGCATCAGGCAATCGCTGGAAGCGAAGGTACTATCTTAAAAAATTTTCAGTTTCTTCGCTTTAATTCTAGCGATTAAATTTTCAACAGAGAAAAAGGTAGGAGCGATTGGCGTAAATGGAAGGACGACCAACGAATCCTTCCCACGCGCTGCTTTCGAACCGAACACCCCATAGACATTTCTCGATCACCAGCAGTGACTTCACGCGACAGCACTGCCACGCGGCATTTGGCCTACGCAGCCTCGGGGCACCTTTCAGGAAATTGGAGATGTTTTGGAGCTGAGGGATGCTGTCCTCGTTGTAGCCGCAGTTTTCTTCCAGGAGAGGGAAGACGTAGTTGAACTCGGCGCAGGCGTGGGTCCTGTACAACTTCTTGAGCCCTCGGAAGATCGTCCTCCACGTCCCGACCTCTTCTTCGGTGTATTCCACTCTCGGGATCGGCTGGCCGCTGGGGGACGACATGCACGGGTTGGCAGAGAAGCGGAAATCCGTAGGCTTTGGGGGAAACGCTTAGGCATGCAAATGGGATTCACTGGGTGGTCGAGAACTTCACGAAAGGAATTTCAAGATCCAAAAATCGCTCAGAGGAAAAGCACCTCCAGAAAGGCGGTTCGATTTTATAAAGAACCTCTGCGGGAAGCAGATTAGCTCAAGAACACTGGTTTCGACAGGGGCTCATTTATAAAAATCCGAGTATCTAAGTTTAACCAATATGGTTCATGCCATGGACTAAGTGCCATAGAAAAACCACTGGTAAAAAAAAAACTAATCAAAACTACTCCTACGACGTAAGCGAGTACAGGGCTAAACACATAAGGAAGGATTCATTTTCGAGGCCAACAGTAGCAGACTTTAAACGGTGCAAGTGGGAGCAAAGCTCGGCAACGGTTCGCCAGTAACCAGTCAACGTTTCTCTGCACAGACCGGATTGGAAACTTTGCCTGGAATAATTTCAGATTATTGTTCCTCTAGTACGTCGGTGCATGCTAAAAACTATTCGGAAATAAAACCAAACCCAGCAAAGGTTTCTCACGTACTGCTTGTAGTTGAAAGCTATATCGGCGAAGTATTTCCTCCGTTCCCTGTATTTCTTGTCGGTGAAGCCAGGATGATCCGCGTCGAGTTCGGAGCCGTAAGAGAGGACTCTGTTGGCGAAGTGATCCAAGTCCGCGATCTTGATCGGGAACCACGGCAGGGAATCTGCAAGGACGAGGCATCATGCAACCTTGAAAGCTTTTCATCTCGGAGGCATCACGAGGGCATCACGAGGGCATCACGAGGGCATCACGAGGGCATGAAGATGGCACGATGATGGCATATTTAATCCTATATTTAACTCTAAATATAGAGTGCGGGTCCACTTCCCTCACCTGGGGGTGGGAAGCACCCTGAAACAAGAGACACCCTGCAACGATGAGGAACACCCAGCGACCACGCTCACCTATGTTATCGTGGTGATCGCGAGAAATGATCTGGAAGGACAGAGCGACGTCCTTGAGCTGCGTGATGGCCACGTCGAAGTCTCCGCTGGCCGCGTCGCATTCCACCATGAAATCGTACTGCTCCTTGTCCGACCTCCGGGACGGACGGGACTCGATGTGAAGCAGGTTCACCTTGTTTTTCTGAAAAGCCCAAAGTCCCCTTGACCCCTTGACCCCTTGACCCCTTGGACGAAGAAGCACCGGTGGGATTCGGATCTCTCACCTTGAAGATTTTGAGAGCGCGGGCCAGCGATCCGAGTTCTTCTTTCATGGAGAACAGGAGGCATGTCCCCCGGGGTTCCTCGAGAAGCTTCTTCTTGCCTTGATCCATCTGAAACCACGAAGAATATGGGGCATGTGCATTAATAACTTAAAAGTAACAGTCTTGCCCCCCCCCCCTCCCCTCAATAGCTTGAGCTTTAATAAGCAATGACTTGAGCAATAACTTGAGCTTTCATGCGGTCCAGTGTCTCTCGGTCTGGCCGAGAGCATACTAAAAAAATGTGAGCGATTTTGCAAAATCAAGCAAAAGCTCCCACTTATTTCTAAGTTTCTAAGAGTTCTTTTCAAACTCTTGAAAGAAGTTTCGAATTTCTCGCATTTGAGAGTGTATTTACTCTCTTGTTTTTAGATAGGGAAAATCCCTAACTCCATTTTGACTCACTCCGAAAATAACCGTTCAATTCTTCAAGTGCTTATCGCCCTCCCTTTCTCACTCCTATACCCAACTGGTTTTTCCCCTCTCCGGATTCCCCCTTCAGATAAGGCCTTTCCGGTGACCTTTGCCCACCGCACCCGGATCCACTCCCGAGCGATCAGACGCGGCCCACGCAGAGAAAAGACTCTCGCTGTCGACTGCTAACCCTGCATGAATTTATTAAGGCATAACAAAATGATGCGCCTTCTGGTTTTATGATTTAGGCGGTCCCCCGCCGCATCACCACCCACGCTCCACCGTCAGGAGACAACAACGAACGGAGCGGCTCCAGCCACGTACCGAAAAGCCATCAGAACCGAAACCACAGCCGCTCACTTCGACACGATGGGAGTGGAACCTCCTCATCGCTCCACGGAGCCGGGTGGGACCATGCATCGGGTCGGACCATGCATCGGGTCGGACCATGCATCGGGTCGGGCCATGCATCGGGTCGGACCATGCATCCAGAATTGCCCGGAGTCTTCCTGGTCTGGGTTGCTTCACAGCACGAACGTATCCAAGAATGAGAATGTTTTCTCCCATTTTTGTTCATGGGAAAAGATCGGGTGATGGCCGATCGATCGATGCCATCGATCAATGGGGCACATAGTTCAGCAGATGAAACGCGAACTGACTGGACTCCTTTTAATACAGTATTTTCTCTTTTTTTTTTATAAGAGCATCCTGCAGAACTCATGGCTTCGCGCGTTTGACTCGGCTATTTCACCAGAACCTTCTCATGGGGTTTTTTATTTTGCTTATTTTGTCATAAAAAAAAACGTATCGCATCACTGACAACCGGCTGGGCCCAAGGCCATGTTGGCCATGTTCCCGACTCGATTTCACTCCCCACATGCGCAGACGAATCTCTATAAAATTAAAAAACTTGCTGCGGGTTTTACACCCATGTGAAATGTCAACCTTTCGAGGCTTCGTGACGTTTCTCGATTCCCAGGGGAATCGCCGACTCCGTAGAGAAGCACGAAACGCGAGGGGGAGGAATAGGGAAAGGGGATGGCGGAAGGCGGCATCGGCCGAGGAAGGCGGCATCAGCCGAAACAGATGCCTCCGACGCCGCTGGCTCTCCTCTTCCACGCGCGATAGCGAATGCGATGGTTCCGATGCGAGGGAGAGGTGTGAGAGATGGGAGAGGTGTGTGTCTTCGAGGGGTTTCAGTTGTCGAGTGTGTTTCGGCGACGATCGTCCGATCGTCGCGACGTACCGATCGATACCGTTCGCATCGGTGATGTGCCTGCACGTTGCGATACCGCTCGTTACTCTAATGGTTCCACTCCCCGATCACCGACCACGGTGAGCAAACGAGGTCGATTGCAGAAGGATCGACGTAGAACGGTAGGTAAAAGGCGACGTAGGTTACACACGGAAGCTCTCATCGCCACGTGCCACTCCCTCCAATAACTAGGCCCAATTGGGGGGGTTCGATGACGGAAAACCCAAACGAGAAAGGTCTCGTTGCGGCGCTACCTGGAAGAGATGCCACGAGGCATCACCCGGATGCCACGAGGCA